ACACCACACACACACACACACACACACACACACACACACAACACACACAACACACAACACACACACACACACACACACACACACACACACACACACACACACGCACACACACACACACACACACACACACACACACACACACACACACACACACACACACACACACACACACACACACACACACACACACACACACGCCCTGAGGCAGCTCAGGGGTCGAGCCCGCTTGGGCAGCAAGTGCCCCCAGCGTGGCTCGTGTGCGACCACTGCCATCAGGGTGTCGTTCGGGGCTGGGCGGGGCCCGTGGAGTCAGTATATTCGCGAGCTGATCGGCTACTGGTTTTCCCGCGTTTTCTCGAACCCAAGCCTCGCCGAGCGTATGCGGGAGCGTCGGAATGAGCCCCTCCCCCGCGTCGGCAAGGGCTGGACGTGGGTCCGAGGGCCCCTGGGGGCTTACCAGGCGTCTCTGGCTTCTCTGGGGTGGGAATGCCCCACCCTGGATTCTCTTGTGGAGCCTGGAGGCCCAGACCGTTTCAAGTGGGAGCTGATCGACCAGGGCGCTGCGCCTCCGACAAGGCTCTTGGATGCCCTAGAGTCCACCATAGAGGAGCGCGCCTGGGTCCAAGCCTCCAAGCATATGGACGGGACGGGTGGTGAGGGCGGGGTTTGGCACCAGCATGTGGCATCTCTCGCCGAGAGGCTGGAAAAGAGTGACCAACCAGCTCTTGCCAGTATGGTCCGTCTTGTTGCCTGTGGGGGATATTGAACGGAGTCCCGACGTTTCTCGGCAGGTTTTAGGACTGATGGCTGTTGTCAGCGCTGCAAGCGTGCTCCTGAAACCAATGTGCACAAGTTTTGGGGATGTCCGTGTAACTTTTTCTCTCAGGAGTGGGCTGCGAGGGTAGGGGCCGAGCCTCCGTCCAGCTTTGTGGTTGAGACGAATCACCTTTCTAGACAGGCTCTGCAGGAGGTCGGCCAGGCCTCAATTTACTGGATCAGGGGCCTGATCCCCCTACCCTGGCTTGAGCTCCCTCCCCCTCCTGAGGGCCGCAACCTTGAATGGATCCGAGTCCAGGCCTGGCCCCTCCCTGGTGGCACGTACGCCGCTGACGGATCGGGGGGCCAGCACGGGAAGCAACCCCTGCTCCGTAGGGTGGCCTGGGGTTTTGCCCGTTTGGCCTCCCTGAGCCCCCTCTCTTGGGACTCGGGATGCACGGGCCTGGTGGACAGCCCAAAGCAGACGGTCCCTCGGGCCGAGCTTTTGGGTCTCATCGAAGTGCTGAGGGCTGTCCGCCAGGAGGAAGAACTCACTATTCTCTCGGACCGCATAAATCATGTTAGAGCCCACGCCCGTGGTAGGCATCATTGTGCCAAGCTCGAGAATGCCGGCCTTTGGTATGAATTCTGGAGGCTCGCTGAAGCCAGGCCTGCCCCGCTTATCCTCTCTCATGTGCCCTCCCACCTGGCCGAGGATGGGGGCAGGCTGGCGCGTTTCGGCGCCTCAGTCCAATCGGGAGGCGTTTACCTGAACGCGGTGGCGGACGGCCTTGCGGATGCTCGAGCCGCGCGCGCCCAAGTGCCCTCTTCGGTTGCCGATCGTGCGTGCACTTTCCTCAAGGAGGCCGAAGCTATCTTGTGTCGTAACGCCTCTCTTGCCATTGCTGCCGCTGCTGTGCCAAAGGATCCAGAGAGGCAGGTGGTCCCACCGCGCCTACCTCGGGCTCAAAGGCGCGTGGAGGCAATCGGCAAGGCGAAGAGCAGCTCCAACCATGTCTGGCGTGATTTCCCTCGGGGTTGGAGCTGCTCGCGGTGTGGCAGACTTGTTTTTCGGACGCAGAGCTGTGTCCTGTCCAGGCTACGCACTGCGTGCTTGGCTCTTTCAAGTTCCCTTGCCTCTCTGCCTGTGGTGCCCCCTCGCGTGGCGGTTCGCCTTCCCCGAGGGTTTGAATCTTTACCTCCCTTTGATAAGCAGTTTTTCCGTTTATGGGCTGGCCCGACCCCCCCGCTCGGTTTGAGGGGCAGGGTTAGAGAGGCCACCCTCTTCACGGCTCCCACTCTCTCTGGCAGAAGGGCGGTTTTGTTTTCTGTGGAGTCTGTGGGAGGTACGCCGAGGGTACCCCCAAGCTCCTGACTCAGGAGTGCGAGTGCGTTCGGTTTGGACGTTTCTCCCTCACTGAGGCCCAGCACACTGCTATAATGGGAGTTCGGAAGAGGCTGCCCCCCCCGTATGAGGAACAAAGGAGTGGGGCCAGAGGCCAGAGTGTCTGGACCCCTAGTGGGGCCATCCTCTTCCTGTCTGTTAGACCTAGTGCTCAGGCGCTGGAGGCTAGCAGGGCAGCTGCATCTAGCCCAAAAAAAAAATCGCCGTCGTCGTCCTCGTCGTCCTCGTCGTCGTCGTCGTCGTCGTCGTCGTCGTCGTCGTCGTCGTCGTCGTCGTCGTCGTCGTCCACCTCGGGCCCACGGATCGAGCAGAGCACCGCGTGGGGCGCCCGTGCCGGGAGCGCCCGCGGCGCGGCCCCTCCCGCCCGCCGAGGCTAGAGGAGGAGGAGGAGGAGGCGGAGGAGGAGGAGGAGGAGGAGGAGGAGGAGGAGGAGGAGGAGGAGGAGGAGGGGGAGGAGGAGGAGCGCCCGAGGCGCGGCCCCTCCACGCCCGCCAAGGGGGGCCGAGGAGCCGACCTATCCTCCGCGGAGGGCGGCGACGGAGGGCCAGCCGGGCAGGGCAGGCGCGGTCGCGGCATGCCGGCGCCGCCCTCGGCGGTGCTCCTATGGGGCGCTGCCGAGGCCAGCCAGGCATCCCCTGGGGGGGGGGGGGGGGCTGCCTGCTCGCGCCGCCCGAGGCCTCCTCGCAGGACCCCTCCCCCCCCGAGAGGACGTCGGCGCTCTGGGGCTCTCGGGGCTCCCGCAGCTGCCGAGGCAGCCCCTCTCGTCTCAGCCCTTGTCCCCGCCTGCTCCGCCCCCCAAGCAGCCCCCCTCCGCCTGCGGCACCTCTCCTCATATGCCGAGTGTGGGGCGCGAGAGCGGCGAGCCTCCGAGATGCCGAGGATCTCTGTGCCGCTCTGGTCTCCGAGGTGGCAGGCAAAGGGGGGCGTACCCTTTCTGTTTCCCCTGGCGTGTGGATGACGACGTGCAGGTCTGGGCGCTGTAAAAAATGCGCGATCCGCGCGAATTGCTCCTGGAGATGTGCTCAACCCTGCGCAAGGTAATGCACCACGCACGCAAGCAGAAGGGAACCACACCGCTTGGTGCGTGTTCGAGTGCAGTGCCTGCAACAAACGAGTCTGGCGCTCCGATCGGACGAACTTAACAGATGCAACGCCGAATTCTGGCTTGCCAGTCGGCTCTAGCCCTTTGGAGGAAGATGGTCAGATGATTGCTGTAAACACCCGCGAAAATCGAAGGGCAGGACCCAACATCCCTAAATATACCGCTCCGAAGTCTGCATTCATGAATGCATGCGCTCATGCATACTCTGTACATGCTGCCTTGAACAAGACAGAAGAACCTTGGCTTTGCTATGCCGCCAAGCCGTTCGGGGCTACCTAACTGGTGCCGAAGATGTCGCTGATCTAGAACTTGAAGATGGGATCCTTAGAGGTGCCTGTCGAAACCATGTTCCAGGCCGTATTTCAGCACTGACTACAACAGCATCGAGGGTGTCGACATGTTTCAGGTCGACTCTCGGCACTCTGGGCGTGGAAAAAGTTGGAACCAATGGCCAATCGCCGAAGAAGAAACAACGCCACAGGCATGCACTTTCGCAGTGTCCACGCGGCAGAGCCGTCGCCACGGGGCCCAGCCTGGCGGCGCGCACGAGAGGGTGGAGGGAGGGGGCAGGGCTTCTGAGAGGGAGGCTGCCTCTTAGAAGGCGCCGGCCTTACATTCACAAATAAGGCCCGCGCCTTCTAAGAACCAGGGGTGCTTCCAAGAAGCCCTCCGCCCCTCCCCCCACCCTCCTCCGCGCGCGGCCGGGACTCTGCGCGGACCTCCGAGAGTTCGTGCCTACGTCGCTCTTTCTTCTCCGGTATCCATTCGAGCTCCTCGACGACGCCCACTACGTGCGAACTGGCGCCCGGGCCCTCTGCGAGCCCGAGAGAGCCTGAGATCTTCGACTCGAGGTTGGACTTACGTCGGGCGTGTCCCTCTACGGGAGGGAGTATTCACAAATAGCCAAACAACAGTCTGGGGACGATTTTTTGACTGTCTTTGAACATTTTTGGTCTATGTTTGGAGTACTTTGGATTTTCGCCCAAAATCCCCCTGTAGGGGGACAGGCCCGACCTAAGGTTAGAGGCGGCTGGGAGGTCAGAGTCGTACGGGCGCCGAGAACATCGGTGAAGGGGGGAGGGAGAATGAGCTGAATCTGCCCAAGGTCGGTCCACCTGGTGCAAATCTTCACCCCAGATCCGTCTTGGGCGGCCACAGGGCCCGAAACTGGCCCCCAGAGGGCGAAAGGCAAAAAACACTTCTCGAACCCAAGACCTCGGACCTCCCTTCTCCTGCTCGCTAGAACCCATGCTGGGCCACCTCAGACCCCCAGCCAGTTCCGAACTACAGGTAGCGACAAGAGGTTGCTGCTGCGCTGCAGGAAAAGTTCCAAACTGCCGCCTGCCTGGGCTTGCGACGACGCGCGAGGCTGCCCGAGCTGGCAGTAGGAAGCAGTGTTAGATTCTCATTCTGTGGACCTTCCTGGAGCCTCTCGCTCCACTCATGCGCCGAAGCTGCGTCGAACGTCAGTCGATCCAAGTCGACCTTGAGTCGAAGCTGAATCGACCTTGAATCGATCTGGAAACGAACTGGAAATAAACCAGTGTCTACCAGATCCGCCAGGTGGGCCCCGGGAAGGTCCCCAGCAACGAACATCTAAACATTGCATGCAGTACTCGGCGCCGGGTCTACGAGCGCAAGGTGGGGAAGACAAGGGTGCGCTGAATTCGGCAGCCGCAAGGTCGCTACGTGACAGACTCAGTGCGGCTGCACCAGTATCTCCACCAACACAGGCCGAATGAATTCTGCACCTGGTGTCGAAGTAACAGCAAAGCACACAAGCATCAACTTCTGGGGGTCCGTGAAGCTCTCTTGGGTCGGCGCCGCTGATGCTGGTGGCACTCCGCGCGCCAGCGGAGGGGGGCGGGAGTGCCTGGCGCAGACCCACGAAACCCGCGCAGGCTTCCGAAGGTTTGCAGTTCTGCTATGTTTTTTGCTGCTTCTTCGGATTGTATGTGGAATGATTGCTGCACCCTGGGTTCGCGGTGGCGTCCCTACCTCACGGTTGGTTCACGCCGCGATGACGCGGGCGTTGGCTTCTGAAACCACGTGGACCGTTCAACCTTGAAGCGGCCGCCCGCGGCGCTCCGACACCCAAGGTCGTTCGATGTCGGCCGGCTCCAGGCCGCTGGCGGCGCTCAACGCTGCACGCCCGCGCTCAGGTCGTCGCCGCGTCAGCGCAGCGCGAACTTGCCGTAGTCTTAAGTCGGGCGTGTCCCCCTACAGGGGGATTTTCGAGGAAATATACAACATACCTCCCAAAATGCCCCAAAAAGGTTAAACAAATGCCCAGCCAATCGTCCACGGACTATTTTTGGACTATCTTTGGTGTATTTTCTAAATTTTCCGTCGAAGCTCTCCCCTGTAGGGGGACAGGCCCGACTTCGCCGCAGTCAGTTCGCCACGGTGTGCGCCGCACCGCAGCCCCGGTCAGGCGCAGAGGCCCACGGCGGGCAGCTGGTCCTCGGTCTGCGTCGGCGAGGCGCCGTCCCAGCCCACGGACGAGCCCGAGCCGCCGTCGGTGGAGCCCAGGGACCAGCAGCGGTCGAAGCTGGGCACGTCGGAGTCCAGCGGGCGCTGCTTCGCCCCCTTCTGGGGAAACCAACTCTGGCCATCGCTCGGACGTCCATGTCCTGTGTTTTGTTTTCGGTTTCGTGCGTGGTTTTTTCGCCACATGATCAAGGATGCTCCTCGATGGTCCTCGCCGAAGGAAAAATGCACACGTCCGAGCGATGCAAGAACAACAGGCCTCGCCTCGGTCCAGGGCCAGCCCGAGAACCGACCGGCCCGGGGCCCGAGACTGGACCGACCGGTCTCGCGCCACCAGAGACCGACCGGCCCGGCCCGACAGGCCCGGCCTGGACGAAAACGCCCCCATGGCGGACTGGGCGGTATCGATACTCGTTGAACAAGTATCGATACCGCTACCCTGGCACCCCTCCCGGGGTGCGCCAGAACCATAATTTCGAAGCGCATATCCAGCGGTGGCGACGAGGGCCTCCCAGGAGGCCCAGACATGGGGGCACGATAGCAAAGGGACACACCGAACTGCACAAGCATGAATGTTCGACGGTCCGCGCGGGATCCTTGGATCTGAACTCCTCTCTGGCGCGCGGAGCGCGCCAGGGGGCGGCGCAAGAGGCACCGCCAATGGAGCCCAGAGCCGATCCAAGAAATCCGCGCGGACCCCACAACATTTCTGCTTGTGCCGTTCTTGTGTTCATCAAGATAAAGGGAAAGGGCCAGCGGCATCGGCACCCTCCTCTCCTTCAGCGACCGAAGACAACTGTGCTTAAAACGAGTTGGAGTTTAGAACGAAACGCGAAACGAGACCGAACGATCAAAACGAACGCTCAGAACGAAACCAGCGCCAAACGAAGCCGACTCCGACACGAACCACGGCGGAGCACCAACGAACAACGGACCGAAACACAAAACAAGGGCCACCACCTAGCCAAACAGCGTTGTGCTCGGCCCCTGTTGGGCGGCGAGCGAGGGAGGGAAATGAGAAGGAGAAAGCCTTCTCAGAAAATTCCGAAGTCCCCGGGCCTTCCGAGAAGTTTTCTAAACCTCCCCCGAAGACGGAACAACAGCTTCCCAGAAGGCGCGAGGGCTTCTAAGAAGACCCGCCGCCCTCTAAGAAAGCCTTCTCCTTCTCACTTCCCCCCCTCGCTCGCGGCCGACCTGTGATTTGGACGCCCGAAATGGGCACGGGAAGAATGGGTACAATGCCCAACAACAAATGTTGTCCCAAATCAACCGCGGCCGTTGTTGGGCAGGCGGCCTCCTGTCTCGAATGGACACAGGCCGCGGCGGCGCGGACAGCGAGTCCTGTTCAGAATGAGCAGGAACTGCTGTTGGGCACTGTACCCATTCTTTCCGTACCCATGTCGTTCGCGCAGATGTGACTTGAGCAGGGACCGACCGTCCCGGCATTCCCATAGTCCTACCATGAAATGCTCGTAGCACCCAAAAATGTCCTAAGAACCAAAAAGAATGTTCTTTGAACCTACTCCCGATGTGCTAAAATAAGACAGACTCCGCCATACTGTTCCAAGAACATGTCCTGGAAACCACAAAAGAGGTTCTCTCAGAACATTGTCTGGTAGGACTATATAGGCGAGCCAGGACGCCTCGCCGCTGCTTGAGTGACTCTCCTCCCCCAGACCCCCGACGTCATGATTTTTTCATGACGCGACCCCCAGAGGTCTGGACCCATTCCCCAGGACCGGCTTCTCATCCCGAGTCGTTCTTTGACGGTCCTGGGAGGCCAGTAAGGGCCCCCGGAGGCCGAAGATGGCGAAAAACCTCGCGTCGTGATTTCTGCATGACTCGAGGGGGTCTGGGCCTGCGACCTTCGGCGGCACCCCCGCCCGGTGGGCGCTGGCCGACCCGAGGCTTGGGGGGCGGAAAGATACGGATACGTGTTGTCCCCGGACCTCTCTTGGGGTGCGTTCTGACCAGAATTTCGAAGCGAATCCAGCGGTGACAACGAGGATTCCCCAGGAGGACCAGGAAAGGCCGAAAACGAAGGGGGACAACACGTATCCGTATCTTTTTCTCCCCCGACCTGCGACCTTCGGTGGCACCCCCGCCCGGTGGGCGCTGGCCGACCCGAGCAGCCGCGCCACGGCGTCGAGGAGCTCCTGGCTGGCCGGCGCCGTCGGCTCGTGGCTCCGCTGGCCGGCGGGCGGCTCGCGGAGGGCCTGGGCGAGGGGTGGGCCTGCCCGCACCGCCACGGGGGGCCTTCGTTGAAGAGGCCCACAAACACACAAATAAATACACACAACTAAAGATATTCCCCATATGTTCCCATATTTTCGGAGTTTTTGTCTTCCCCACCACTTCCCATATTTTCCCATATTTCCTGGGGATCGACGATGAATTGTGTCTGTGTGTTTCTTCCCCTCCTGATTCGTGCGGGCGCGGCCGCAGGAGACCCTCGCAACCCAGACCCCCTCGTGTCATGAAAAAATCACGACGGGAGGTTTTTCGCTATCTTCGGCCTCCGGGGGCCCTTACCGGCCCTCAGGACCGTCAAAAAACGACTCGGGATGAGAAACCGGTCCCGGGGAATGGGTTCAGACCTCTGGGGGTCGCGTCATGAAAAAATCATGACGTCGGGGGTCTGGGAAGAAGCCCAACCCTGAGAACCCGCGCGCGAAGTGCACCTGAGGGGAAACCTGGAGCACCCTGAACGCAGCAGCTCCTTCAGCGGCTGCGGGAAGCCACCGCGCAGCGCGAGGAGCGAAGACACCCGGGATGCCCGGACGAAAAGCAGATGGTTTCTTTTGATGCGCGCCCCCACTGTACGCCTCGCGCGGTGAGCAGAAACACGGCGACGCTGTTTTTCGGTATCTTCGGCCTCCAGGGGCCCTTCCCGGGCCTCGGGGCGTCAAACAAAATATTCAGGATGAAGAACCGGTCCCGGGGAAAGGGAAAGGGTCCAGACCTCTCTGGGGGTCGATGTTATGAAAAAATTGCGACGTCGGGGGTCTGGGTACACAACCGGACCAAAGATAGAAACACATCCTTCAAGAACATGAGCCCCCCCGCCTCCCAAGCAGAAGAACCTTCGAGAGTGCCCTTCCCCAGGACGCACATGAACATGCAAGACCCGCGGAAAACACTGGGGTACCCTCCCCGCGCCGACTCCTCGATCTTGTACCTCGGTCCGGCCGTGCGCAGGCACCCTCCGACGAAACCTGCATGTGCCTTCGAAGGGCGGCGACGCAGAAAAGCGCCGGCTCCCGGTGGTGATTTATACACCGCCACCCTCCCCCCTGAGGTTGGGTCGGGCCTGTCCCCCCTACAGGGAGGTTTCGGGCGACAAATTGAAAATACCATCAAAATCCTAAAAGCAAATGCTCACCACCAGTCAACAGGTCGTCCCCAGATTCTTTTTGAACTGTTTTTGAACATTCCCCCTGAAGCCTGAGGCCTCAGGAACAATCCGTTGCCAGGTGTCCGTGCCTACACGTTTGCGGCGGAGCCCGGGCACGAAGCGTCACGCAACGGTGGTGGGCAGGCCGTGTAAGCCAGCACCGCCCGGAGACAACCAGCAAAAACACAGACGAGCTGCCCCGCGTCCAACAAAAACCGAAGGGTTTTTTGCAATCCTTCGTCCAACAAAAACCGAAGGGTTTTTTTGCAATCCGTGGTTTTATTGCAATCCTGGGTTTTTTTGCAATCCTTCGGTTTGTTTTTGCAATCCTTCGCATCAGAGAGGGACTCTCTTGCAGCAGGGGACAAGTCGACCCCTGCCCCAGGCCATCGTGGGGTTCTCGATGGGGGCGTCCGGCCTCGATCACGGGGTGCGTTCGAATAGCCCCCCTGGGGTGTATCCCAGGGTTTCTCCCTTTTGCTCTGAGCGGCCTCGTTTCTCCGTGGAAACGTCGGGGGATCGGGGGAGCAGCGACGCGTGCGATCTTGGAGCTCGGAGGGCAGGAGGGCTTCCAAGAGCCCTTCTCCAGGGCTGAACCTGAACGGTGTTTTTCGTCTTCGTTTTGGTTTTCGCTCCTCCTGTTGCCTTCGCTTCGCCTGGAGTGCACAACAGCACGAGAAACAAAACGGCCCACGAGATGGCCCAAACACCGCTTAGGTCAAGCCCTGCCCTCCCCTTGCCCTTCCTCGAAAGCGCCCTCCCGCTCCCTCCTGCGCGCCGCCGGCCTTCCCTCTGGGATGCGGCCCCAGACCAGGACGAGAGAGTAGCCCACGCTCAAGCCCAAAGGATACCCAGCCTGAAACCGATCCCCACCCCCAAGGCTGACGCTCCCGAGGGCGATGCCAGTCTCAGGGGCGCGCCCTCAGAAACTGAGCTGAGGGAGTCCTCAAGATTGGCACCGAGATGAGGTGATGCCAATCGTGGGGATAGGGGTGTGTTCCAAGCTCGTAAAGTTAGGTCGGGCATGTCCCCCTACAGGCGGATTGGCGCGACAAATACACATCCCCAGACAATGCACAAACAACCAAACAATGGTAACACATCGTCCCCAGACTATGTTTTGGCCTATTTCTGAAGATTCCTCCTGTAGAGGGACAGGCCCGATTTAAATGGTAAAAGGAGGAGAAATGGGCAAGGGCATGGAGATGACGGCGGTGCAGGCGTGAGTGCGCCCTGTCGGAACCCCCGCGGGGGGCTCCCCTCCGAGCGGGGACCGCCCTCCGAGGCAGCGCGCACCCAGGGACCCGTTGTGCCAGCTCGTGAAGGCATCCGAGGCCCAGACTTTTCAAGACGGGGTCCCTGGAGCTTCCGATCCCTCCCCCAGGACCCGTTGCTCATCTCGGGTCGGGCAAAAGGGGGGGATAGCAAAGGGGGGGATTGAGAATCAGCTCACGGAGCTGATTTTCCCGGCGCCTCCCGGCGCCGGAGGCGGCCATGTATCGAGGAATGGGCCCCTCGGTGAGGCCGAAACCAGCTGCATGCAGCAAATTTCGTAACCCCCCCTTTCCCAATCCCCCCCTTTCGCCCGGCCCGATCATCCTGGGCCGCTTTTGTTGCCGTCCCCGGGGCTCGGCGATGGCCCCCTGGGGGCCGAACAGTGCTAAGTAGCCTCCGCTGTGTTCTGCCCACGACGCGAGCCATGTCTGGCGTCGTGGCCGCTTCTTTCGAGCCGCGCCCGGCCGAAGGCGACGAGGGGGCCCCAGCCTGCTTCTTGAGGACACCGTCCGGCCGCGAACCGACGAGAGCCTCGAGGAAGCCGCCCGAATACTTTCGAGGCGCAGGTGCCGTCGCCGCCACCTGCGGCGACCACAATAAACTAGGTCGGGCATGTCCTCCTCCAGGCGGATGTTAGAAGACACGTTACACTATAGTCAGAACATGTTGAAGAGCAATCAGAAATAATAGAGGCATCGCCCCCAGACTATCTTATGCCCATCTTTGAACATTCCTCGCGTAGAGGGGCACGCCCGACCTGAGACTGCAACGCCGCGCCGCCGCCGAGGGGCCGCCAGAGGGCGCCGAGCGGGGACCGCCGGAGGCGCCGCCGAAGGGCCGCCGGGCGGGCCGTCGGAGAGAGCCGCCGATGGGTCCGCCGGGGACCAGGAGGAGGAGGAGGAGGAGGAGGAGGAGGAGGAGGAGGAGGAGGAGGAGGAGGAGGAGGAGGAGGAGGAGGAGGAGGAGGAGGAGGAGGGCCCGCCGGAGGGGCCGCGGAGGGGCCGCCGAGGGCTCGCCCGAGGGGCCGCCGAGGGGCGCGGCTGCGGGGCGTCCCTCCGCGGGTGCCCCGCGCGGAACGCACGCGTGCGGCCGCGCATCCCCGGGGCACACGCCCCGGAAGCCAACTGGAGCGCGGGGGCGCGGATCGGAACGCCTTCCTGGAACCCCGCCGTCATGCTTTTCTCGCGTGGCCCCCCCCTGAGGTCTCGACCCCTTCTCCCAAGACCGGTGCCTCATCCCGAACTGTCCTGGAGGCCGGAAAGTGCCAAACACCTCGCGACCTCCTCCCCGAGGCCGCCCTGGACGAATCCCACCAGCCCTCTGGGCGTAGGTGGTCTAGAGCAGATCCTCTTCCACCCCTCCCTCTTCCCCCTTGGGGAGGGGTTTACCCCTCCCCCTACCCCCTCCCCTGGACCTGGACGGGGGGGGCCGCGGGTAGTTAGAGCGTCCCAGATGGCCCAAGACGGCTCCAAGAGCGCCTCAGAGAACCCAAGATGAGCTCCAAGATGGCTCAAGATAGCGCAAGATCGCTCGAGATGGCTCCTAAGATGGTTCCAAGAAGCCCAAAGACGGCCCCAAGATAACTCCAAGTGGCCAAACAGCTCCCCAAGGAGGCCCCGAAGAGGCCAAAATCGTCCCAAAACCTAAGGAAAATCAATGATTTTTGCTTTCTCGCCTTTTCGCTTCCGATGGCCATCCGAGGCCTGGAGATGGTTCCAAGATGGCCCAAGAGGGCCCCAAGAGAGCCCCAAAAGAGCCCCAAGACGGCCCCAAGAGCGCCCAAGAGCACTCCAAGAGCGTTCCAAGAGGGGTCCAAGAGGCGATTTTAGGGGCTTCCGAGGGGGGACGCTAATTAAACCCCCCCTCTTGTTTGATCGATCTCCTCCAAGATGGCCCCAAGAAGCGCCCAGGAAGCCCCAAGAGGTCCCAAGATGGCCCCAAAATGGCCCCAAGAGGCCCCCAAGAGGCCCCCCGGAGGCCCCCAAGAGACCCCCAAGAGGCCCCAAGAGCCCCCCCAGATGCACCCAAGATGCTCCAAGAGGCCTCGGCGAGAATGCCTAATCATTGATTCTACACAGGTTTTAGCCACATGGAGGCCTCTTGGGGGGGGGCACGGATTAAGATGACTCCAAGAGCGTCTGGGAGAGCCCAAAATGACCTCCAAGATGGCTCAAGATATCCCAAGATGTCTCATAATGGCTTCCTCTGTGTGCTGCCCACTTCTCTGATCGAGGCAATTCCTCTGGGCATCGTTTCTGGATGGGCTGGTGGGGATTCGCGAAGCGACAACAATTTCTGATGGCCCTTTGGGTGCGTCAACGGGCCCCTGAAACCCATATCCAAAGAGAGAAACGCAAGTGTAGAACAAATCAAATTGGTACCGATACCGCTACAATCAACCCGAATGATAAGGATGCGCGGTAAGGATGCAAGGGCCTTGAAGGGCCATGCCGACGCTTTGGGGCGGGGCGCGGCCAGCGAAAGCGGCCAGGGATGGGCCGAAGGGAAAGGATGCGAGGGCACCCCACCCGGGGTGCGTCCTGACCAAGATTTCGAGACGACTTCAGCCAAGGGCGACTTGGGCCTCCAAGGATGCCCCCCCCAAACGAGGAAAACGAAGGGCTGGTAGCGGTGTCGGTGCCTTGTCCTCTCTGATCTGCACCTTCGGGCCCGTTTCTGAGGGCACCGCGAGGCAAAAGGAACGGGCCCTGGAAGCCCAGATCGAAGAAGAACAACGCGGGGGGGATGCGTGGCGTAGGGGCCAACCGCCCCGGCATTCCTGGAGGCCTACCACGACATGTCCTGATAGCACTGCGCGTTGGTCGGAGGAAGCAGATTCAAACACATACAAGTAGGAAGGCGGTTAAAGTAGATTGGGATCAGGCCCTCCTCCAGAGAATAACAGCACAGCAAACGCATATCGATTGTTGAAGTAGGAAAGCGCTTTAAACATATTGGGATCTGGGAATCCAGAAATACCTACCGTCACCGACCGGCGTGTGTGCATGCTCTGACAACAACACGAGGGTCCTGGACCATAAAACCGAGTGTGCTAACGCAATGCGGTCTCAGCCAGGCATGTTCTAAGAACATGTCGTGCAAACGATGAACATAAAAGAAACAAACACTGACAAAAAGCATGTACCTGCGCTGGACACCCTCCCTGGCGCGCGGAGCGCGCCAGGGGCGGCGCAGGGGGCGCCGCCGGAAGGGGCCCAGCGCGGATCTCCGCGCCCAAGGTTCATGCCCTCCGAGAACAAGTGTTTCGAACATTATGTGGTGGGCATCTGGGCAAGCCAGGACGCCTCGCCACTGCTTGGACTGTTCTTGGAACATTCGCCCGATGCGACAAAACAAGACGGCCCCAGACAGAACTGTTCTAAGAGCATGTCGTGGGAGCCACAAGAGGTTCTCAGAACAGTCTCTGTGGAGACGATAAGGTACCGATACCGCTGCGCCCCAGACCTCTCCTGGGGCGCCTTCTGACCGGGCTTCCGAGGCGAATCCGGCGGTGGCGACGAGAGCCTCCCAGGAGGCTCAAACCAGGGGACAGCGGCCGACGGCTAGAGGTATGGATGTGGGCACGCCAGGACGCCTCGCCCCTGCCCTGGATGCGTCCCGCCGCTCGTGTGGTTGGAGCGCGCCGCCGGCCTGGGCCGGCGCTGCCCGCGCCGCCCGCTCCGCGCGCGCCGCGGCTGCAGCGCGCGCGGCCTCGGGGCAGAGCCAGGGAGGGCGTCACTGGGGTCGGGTCGGGCGCGTCCTCCTGCAGGCGGGTTCTGGAGGACAGACAGAAAACAGTCAACACATACTCCAGATTTCGTAATGAAAGGGAGGGGGTCTGGACCCTCCAAAACATCGTCCCCAGACCCCCCCAGGCCCTCCAAGATGGCCTGGAAGCGACCCCCCCGAAATGAGACCCCCCCCTCCCTTTATTACGAAATCTGGAGTAATCGAGCATGACCAAACACACAGTTGAAACACATCGTCTCCAGACTTTTTCTTCCTAACACGCCGCTTTTGAATCTTCCTCCCGTAGAGGGGCATGCCCGACTTGACACCAGGGACGTAGATCTCCCACGTGTGGATAGAAGAACACTTCGATCTTTGAAGGCCAGCCTGTGGTGTGGGGCCCCCGACTTGAAAAGACAGTGCCCTGCATCGCCTCGTCTCCGCTCCTCCTCCCCCCTCCTCCCATCCCTGCCTCTGCCCTCCGCGTGCCTCCTTCTCTCCCTCCTCCTGCTCCTCCTCCTCCTCCTCCTCCTCCGCCTGCATCGCCTCGCCTCCGCCATCCTGCCCCATCTCCCATACTCCTCCCCCCCCTCCTCCTCCTCCTCCTCCTCCTCCTCCTCCTCCTCCTCCTCCTCCTCCTCCGCTAGCCCGAACTACTGCTGGGCCACCTCGGGCCCCCAGCCGGCCCCAACCCGAAGTCCCCCCCTGGCGGCGAGAAAACGCTGCGCATGCCGCGGAGAGAAAACGCTGAGCATGCCGCGGCCCCAGAAGAGCAGCACGACATAGCGAAGAGCAGCGCGACATAGCGAAGCCAACACCGGTCTCCTTAGGCGACAGCGCCACCTGGGGCAGAACCCCCCCCTTCGCCACCGCCACCTTCTCTGCCACCTGCCCAGACCGCCGCCGTCGTGACCTTCTCATGGCGTGGGTTGCAACCACCTCGCGAGTGGCTTGTACGTGGGTTGCAACACCTTGCAACTGTTGCAGCGGTTCCAGGTCGAACCGACCACTGGAGCAGAGGCTTGCCGAATCAAGAGGGCGTCGTCAAGGCGCGCTGGGAGGAAGTCAAGGGTGGGGATCGTACACAGACTGACGAACCAACAACACACACCCATATCCATAGGGGGGTCGGAGAGGGCTATGGGTGCGTGTTGTCGGATGGGGGTCCACGCTCGAACGGGAGCGTTCCGCAGGGTCCCACAACCCGCACCCATACCCATAGCCAGTTCTCCTCCCAACGACCCCCCCTATGGGTATGGGTGTGTGTGTTGTTCGTTCGTCACAGACGTCGCCCTTCTCACATCATGTGAAAAGAGAAGGGCTTCCTCGAAGGCACGACGGCATCCGAGTAGCCGCCTCCCACTCTTTGTGGAAGGCCGCCCCCTTCGCGCCACCCCCCTCCTTCCTGCCGCCGAGCCGCGAGCGAGCCGGCCCCAGACCCCCGACGTTTTTTTTTTTTTTTTTTTTTTTTGGGTTGTTTTTCTCGTTTTTTTTTTTTTTTGTTCCCCCCCCTTTCTTTTCTTTTCTTGTATTTTTTTTTTCACGACGTCGACCTCCAAAGGTCTGGACGCCTTCCTCGGGGCCGGTTTTTCATCCGGAGCCGTTTTTTGACGGTCCGGAGGCCCCAGAAATGCCTTGGGAGGCCGAGAATAGCGAAAAAACCTCCCGTCGCAATTTTGTCACGACGCGAGGGTGTCTGGGTGGAAGGCCCCGTCTTGAAGGCCCCCCTAGTGGTGACCCCCCTTGGCGTTAGGTCGGGCATGTCCTCCCACGGGCGGAT